TAGAAATTCAAATTCTTTCAGCAATAACTTTAAACTGCCATTAACTGCATCAATCTATAATTTTTCATCTTTAACTCTACTCAAGAAATCTGCAAAGATATGATCTGCCTTATCAATGAATATCATGAACTCAAAAAAAAAGAATGTGGAAAACAGAAAACATCCACAGCTCATATAAACGAAGAGCATTTTTTAAAAACTGAGATATAATTCACATACCACAAAATCTACACTTGTGAAGTGTACAATTCAGAAGTCTTAATATGTTCACAAGGTTGTCAGCTAATGCCACTATCTACTTCAAGAGCAATATACCATCACCCTAAAAAGAAACCCTGTGCTCATCAGCAGTCTCTCCCCATTCTTTTCCTGCCATGGCCCTGGCAGCCACTAATCCACTTTCTGTCTCTATGAATTTGCTTATTCTGGCCATTTCATATACATGAAATACATACTATTTGTGACTTTTTGATCTGTCTTCTTTCACATGGCATTTTTTCAAGATTCATTCTCACATGTGTCAGTAATTCATTTATTTTTATAAATTTTTCTTATGCATTTATCACCTTTTATTTATTCATGAGTAGCATTTTTAAAATGTGTTTTTGCTATCTATATTAGCTCTCAGGATTACTCATGATTCAACTCAAGACACATACTTATTATTCATACACTAATCTCTTGGCCCACAACGCTGATCACCAGCATTTTACACTGTGTCAATTTATAAATCGTCTCATATATTATAATCTTCATTATTTTGGGTATCTTGTATTTTAGTAAATACATCACTTCTTGGGCTTTCCATCTATCACCCCTTCTTCTAGAAATGCCCCTTCCCTCTAGCCCTTCAATATGGTTAATGTGACTCTGCTCCTGTCTACAAGTCCAAGAAGGAGCACCTGATTCAAGCTGAACCAAGGAGGTCCTTCACTGGAAATGTGAAATCGGGAGTAAGATTGTTTCCAACTAGCTGCTTTCACAATTGCAGGAGCTGTAATCTCAGGAGCTTTTGGATGTTACCATCATCTGCCATATAGACTAAGAAACTGAGAAAGCTAGTCTGCAAGATGAGACAAATGAATTAGGAGACAAAAAAAAGGAGAATAACAGAGATAAGAGATGGTGCAGGAATTCCTGGATTCCCTCTGGTGCACTAGTCCCTGATTACAGACCATTCCTAAGGCCAGCTACAGTTCTGCCTTAGATTCTAAGGGACATTCTACATGTTATAATAAATCCCTCTTGCTGCTTCAAGTTAGTTGGAGAGGTTTCCATTATCTCTAGCCAATAGTCCTGATATAATTATATAATTATCTACCCTGTAAGATTTTAAGCTTCTTATTAGCAAGAGCTCAACCTCTATAGCACCCGTTACCCAAACCCATACTTATTTAAATAGCAAACTCAACACTAAGGGTATCTGGCCCTATACCGGGGAAGTGATAGCCAGTTAGAGGACCAAACTTCACCTGAATGCAGCCTATTTGTGAAGTTATTCCTTACTTGTACCCTACATCTCTATAATAAAATAAAATTTAACTAAAAAAATAACATATTTATTTACCACCTGTGCTAAATAACTACCTGTGGTAGATAATCTGGAAAATTCTCTAAAAAAAACACTCAAGACTGCTTGGATGAATGAGTAAAGAAAAGTTAGAATTTGTGTCCATTTTATTTGTTTGTTTACTTATTTATAGAGTTGGAGTCTCACTCTGTTGCCTTGGTTGGAGTGCAGTGGCACGCTCATGGCCACCCAGCCTCGACCTGCTGGGTTCAGGTGGTCCTTCTGCCTCAGCCTTCCAAGTAGCTGGAAGCCACTGTGCCCAGCTTATGTTCATTTTATTAAAAGGCTTTATCATTGTATCACCAACTCAATATATCTTTACACCCATGTTGTAAAAAATCACTTAATTTCCTCAGAAAGTAAGCTGTTTTTTGTATTTCACTATTGCGTGCCCATTTATACTTGTTCGGTAAATGTTTTAAGTTCTTTAAAAAGCAAAGTGTTGGCCGGGTGCAGTGGTTCATGCTTGTAATCCCAGCACTTTGGTAGGTGGAGGCGAGAGGATTGCCTGAAACATGGGTTCGAGACCAGCCCGGGCAACATGGTGAGACTTCATCTCTACAATAAATAAAAAAATTAGCCGGGCATGGTGGTGCACGCCTGTAGTTCCAGCTACTTGGAAGGCTGAAGCAAAAGGATCGCCTGAACCCAGCAGGTCAGGGCTACAGTAACCATGAGCATGTCACTACACTCCAGCCGGGGCAACAGAATGAGATTCCAACTCAAAAAAAAAAACAACCCAAAAGCAAAATGTTAATATTCTTCTAAGGATTTGAAATTTTTTAAGAACAAGTACCTTCTATTTCCCTTTTAAGCAAGCTCCCACAGAACCTAATAAAGAATAATACTCAGTCTACAGAGATATAAATGAGTAGCTCCTTTCCTTGGATTTATTTTCTCCTTCTGTAAACAGGATATATTAAGCACCAATAATTCCCATAAAGATAACATACATGTAATTAAACAATACCACATACATCTGATTATTACACAATGTAGACTGAGAAGGCAATGAAACACTCTTGAACTGACTGCACAGGAAATGCACTTTAGTAAGCTTGCTCTCTCACCCAGATGAAGGGGTTACTGCCATCACTGACCTCTGCACAGTCCATTCCCTGTGTGTTCCTGGGAGTCTTTACTTCCTTATGCACAGTCCTTTTCCCAAAAGCAAATCCGGGATTTGTCACCTAATTGGTTCTTAGGGGGGATAACAGAGATAAAACCAAAAATCCAAAATATTTTCTTAAATCCCTATGAAAAATTCTATAGGGATAGACAGGCTAATCCTTCAAAGTCTAAGACTTGGTTCCTGAATGGATTTTGCGTCACACTGTTTAATGCCCCTACCTTCCCTAAGATATACTTAAATTTTTAAAATTACACTTCTAATATTACAAGGACTTAAAGAGGTGGTATCGCCTCTAAATTACTGAAGAATTCCAACTGAATATAAGCACTGGGGAAGTTTCTGATGGTCTTGACCATAAGCTGGCTTCTCTGTAGCTTGAGGGAACTGTGTTGGTCAAAGCTCTGAGAGACAAAGTGCTACTTATTTATCACAGTCTCCTTGCAAAAAAATTCAATCCTCTAACTTTAAAAAATGGCTCACACTAGGAACTGCTAAAGTTTCCTTCGACCCAAACTATTAGGGCAGGAAGGGACTTCAGAAATCTACTTTATTTCACAAATGAGAAAATGAGGTAGATAAAAGATATGACCAAATCCACAGAGTAATTTGTTAAAACCTCCATACTTTGGATACGAAAACTCAGACTTCCAATTGCTCATTTCATTACACCACCTACTTAAAATATATAAGTATGGACACTATTGAAATTCTGCTGTTTTCTAAGAGGAAAAAAAACAAAAGTCAAAAGGTACAACCTTCTGATTTTCAAAGTGAGAGGTAGAGGTAGAGATATCACATCTCATTTCATGGAAGTAAATGACTTTTCCTTAAATATCACTCCACGGTTCAGTTTTTAAAAATTGTCACTGAAGTATAAATGTCACGATGGGCTTGCCCTGGAGGCCGAGTGAAAGGAAACCAAGTACCAGATCTTCCCTGCAATCTGTAGGTTTTTCACCATAATGAACTATGGTAGCTATTGATTTTGTGTACACAAAGTTATCCCTATTCCCCCTATTCCATTAATAAAGTCTATAGTTCCTTGGACAGAAGGATGGGCATGTGTCCCAAGCCTGGCTAATCAAGTATCTCACATTACTGGCAAGAGTCTAAGGTGTTCTAACACCTCAGGCCCTGCTCTCCAGAGGCTGGAACTCCGCAGTCAACCAGAATCCTTCCCTGGAACCCCGTGTTCAACACAAATGCTAATAAAGTAAACTGCCTCCTGTTTCCCACAATGTGGAGAATGCTGTCTGCAGCAGGAGAACCTATGAGCAACAATCGAAGAGAAACAGAGATAGGCAGAGATGAGAGACAGTCTGGCAGGGTCAAATAATCCTTGGTTCTCATTCCTGAGCTGGTTCCTTTGATCTTGTAAATTAATCCTGTATCTTTGTCAACTACAGAAGCAAAAATTTTTTTTGAGGGGGGGAGGATTTAAAATAGTTTGAATTGGGTTTCTGTCACTTGCAACTCAAAAATCCTAATCTGTGGCTGGGCACAGCGGCTCAAGCCTGTAATCCCAGCACTTTGAGAGGCCAAGGAGAGGGGATTCCCTGAGTTCATGGGTTTGAGAACAGCCTGGGCAACTTGGCGAGACCTCATCTCTACAATAAGTCAAAAAATTCGCTGGGCGTGGTAGTGCATGCCTGTAATTCTGGCTACTTGGAAGGCTGAGGTAGAAGGGTCACCTAAGCCCAGTAGGTCGACATTGGGGTGGCCGTGAGCATGCCTGCCACTGCACTCCAGCCTGGGCGACAGAGTGAGACCCAACTCAGAAAAAAAAAAAATCCTAATCTATATTTACCACAGGAGAGGGGACTGAATATACACTGCCCTTAATACATGGAAATCAATACATTTTTGTTAAATTTTTTTTTTTTACTTTAGATGCCTTTAGACAGGCTCCATTGTCACTTCTATCTAATGCTCCTAATATCCTACACCTACCAAGTTTACTGATTCCACTATCTGACCCCTGAAAGTATCAGAGTTTGCCAACACTTCCCTAGGATGTCCCTAGAATTAAAAAAAAATCTTAATATAAGCTTACTTCAATTGATTTTCAATAAGGTTAGAATATAAAACATATTCCAGATAATACAAATTAAATGAGATTTTACCTAATCTAAAACATCAAAAAGATAAATCTGGTTGTCAACATGATAGTATGCAAGGAGGTAAAATTTCAAAATTTAAAGCAAATCCAACAGATAGATGGCTACTTCAATATAATTTAGTAGCATGCTTTTTAACTTATAAAAACAGAAATCAATAACAACAAATCTCAGGACCTACCTCCAATAAGGCTCCAGTTTGGAAGAATTTCAAAGGCTTTTCAATTGAATAATAAAGGCTGTGGTAGCTACCCTTAGCCAGGTAGGCTCGGACCAGACCAACTGCTATAACAAGCCACCTAATAAAAGAAAAAAGAGAAATCAGAAAAAAAAAAAAGGCAAGGATTTAGGGTAATTGAAAGATGTAGCAATAACAGATATTGCTAAAGGTGACCTCAATAATCAGTATCCTGGATTTATGGGTGGTAGTTTTTAAATGCCAAGTTGTAGGACAAGGAAATGCTGCACCAAGAGCACCCTACCTAGAGTGCTCAGCAAAAGCTCAGTGACACCTCACCCATCTGGAGCTTGGCTTTTTTGGCAACATTATCTGTTAAGAACAAGGCCAAAATGAAGGGAATAAGTTAAAATGGTCCTTGTGCAGCTAAATTAGGTGCCAGAAAGTCTAAGTCAAGAGAAAAAAACTGGTTAAAGGAAAATTTTTAATGGCCTATATAATTAAAGAGTCTTTAATGCTAATAGGGTAGAGAGAAGATGCTTTAAACTATTTTTATAAGTGTCTCACTGGAATATTCCCATATCTTAAAATCTATCCTTTTAAAAATGCAAATGAAATAAGAATAAAAGTGTTTTTTTTTTTTTAAAGAATAAAAAGTTTTTTAGTTGAATTTTCCATAATCAACTCAGAAAAGAAAGCCAGATCAAAACAAACCACAAAACAGGGAAGCACTTAGGCATACAACTGTGAATGTCACACTTCTATTTCACTATCCTTCTCAAAAACAAATTCTCAGGTCCTGTAATTTTTTACTTAAGTTCCATAATGAAACAAATGACCTTTAATTTTAAGGTATGTCTCTTAGAAGGCAGTAATAGATTTACATAAATGTACAATCTCGATGTGATCTGTGTTATTTCTAATGACTTATCATACAAGGACATCAAATAAGAGTTCATAAAAGAAAAAATTAATTCCTTAATGTGTAACTGGTTCGGCATCAGAAGCCTAGAAAAAAACTTACTCTTACTTTGCTCTCACAATTCCAATTTTCTCCATTTAAGACACCACTCCATACTCTCCACCCCATTCTATATGTTTCTCACTTAGGAATAGACATCTTCTTACCAATATACCTTAAAATCCCTCTCCAGTCCAATGGTCTCATCAATGCCGTTGATAAGACAATAAGAATTTTATATAAATAAATACACACACACACACACACACACACACACTCCTAAATGTTCCTTGAATGGTCAATCTGTGTGAGCATTTATGTGACAAAGCTTATATCTGTACTAGTTCTTCACTGGCCTGTGAGTCAAGATAAATGATTTCTAGATCCAGAACTTCTAACAAGTTCTATGATCTCAAGCAAGTTACAAATTGTCTGAGCCTAGGTTTCCACACCTATCATTTCTAATACTAGCAATAAACCTAGGGTCCTCCCAGGATATATTTATTTTTGTGAAAAAAAAGCAAGGTGCTGAACTATAAATATACATTTACATTTGGGTTTTTTCTTTTTTTAAAAAAAAAGGTGGAGAGAACATATATATTTGCTTGTATCAGCATGCTAAGGATACACAGAACTAGTTGCCTCAAAGGAGGGGATCTGAGTAGAAGGGAAGGTGGGAGGAAAGATTTTCACTTTATGCTCTTGTGTATATTTTGAATTTTGGACCCTGCCAATGTATTACCAACTTTTAAAATAAATAAACTGGATGCTCACTATAGTTTTTTCAACTTTTCAGTATGTTTAAAATTTTTCATAATAAAATGTTAGAGAAATTTTTTTTCACCAATGATTGTAACTTCAAAACACATAACACATAGTCCGATCTGTGATCCTCCTCACCAAAACCCCGGGGATAGAGAATTGCAGAGCTGAAGGAACCATCAAGATCACCCAGCCAATTAGTTTCACTTATGAAAAAACGGAGACCCAGAGAAATAAAGCGATTTAGTCAAAATCACACAGCTAGTGTCAGAACTAAAAACCTGCCGTGATAAGAGATGGACTGATATGAGGGAGACAGGAAATGGGTAAAACCTGTTCCTAGGGTGTATACTTCTCCCTTCCCAGTAACTCTGCCTTCCACTCCCCAGTTTCTTCCCTACCCCAATACATCCTAAAAAGTCTGAACTCATTCAGAGCACAGTTCTTCTCACGTCACTGGCCAAAAACTTTGAACGCTTTCTCCACTACCTTTCAGACGAAAGCGCAGCCTGGATTTTGAAAACAGCCGCCTAAATGAATGGTCACTCTGCAGCCACTGCTGCCTCCACTCCCCCTGCTTGGAGCAGTTCTCCGTTCGTGACTCGCCGCCCGGGCTGTCCTCGGCGCTGCAGGACGGCCCGGCCCACCGCCCCCCAGCCCTGCACCTGTGGCCGGCCCACCCTTCCTCCCACGGCCCTCCCGAGCCCGCGCCTGGGCAGCCTTCCCCGCGCTCCCGTGCCTGGGAACTTGGCTCGGCCCCCCAGCGCAGGCGGGAGCTCGCGGGCAGGCACCACCCGGGCCGATCCGGCGCTCGGTCGTCCTCGCGCCCGGGTGCCGAGTCCCGGACACCCAGCGCCCGGGCTGCGCGGCGCGCGGCGGGCCGCAGAGCTCCCTCCCCGGCCAGGCTGGCTCCCCGCCTCCCCGAGACCCAGCCTCACCCCGCCGTCATCACCACATTGTAGATGACCAGGTACGCCGTGGCCAGAGGCCCGGGGCCCTTCTTCTTCCGTGAGCCGCTGGCTTCGCCAGCCCCGGCCC